GATAATGTGAGATAGATATGAATAGATAAAAAATGAATATTTATAATTTCAATAATGGTAAATTTGGAAATGTAAGTAATCAAATTAAATATGACTACCTACTCAATAAAATATATGACTACCAAAAATGGCAAGGGTTAAAAATCAAATGTGATAGAAAAAAAAGAAAGGGTGTGTTTATATATATATATATATATATATATATATATATATATATATATATATATATATAAAATCTTGCAATATTTAAAATTATTCGGGCATGTTTTTCGAGATGATCTAAATTTAACAATTATTTTATCAAAGGTTTACAAATCAGTTAATTTATTTTAATAAAAAATCTATTAATAGTTATATATTACAAAAAAATTAATTAAATAAGATATATTTTTCGTTGAGCAAAATTGTATAAAATTATGCACAATGAAGTGTGTTGAACTTTTAAAATTACTCCGTATATTACAAGTTTTTAAAAAATATCAATCCATCACGAAATGTGTCAGAATCTAATTTTCCTAGTTTCCATTCATTCTTTATTTACTTACACTACGTTTTTTTCCTAAAAATAATTAAGCAGATTACTCTATATATCGTAAACTAAGATGTGTTTATTGATACAAAACTAAATTAAATATGCTTAAGTCGGATATAAGGTAAATACGGAGTACTACTTATGTTCTAAGTTCTATTAAAATCTTATCTGTTTCACTTTCATAAAATTTAAAATTTTTATATTTTTGGAACGAACAAAAAAAGAAGTGATGATTTTTGCCAGGGAGTACAAGCTTACAAAATATGGAGCAATTTGAAAATATCGCGAGAGATTAAATTTATTTGATTGTAATAATGTTTGACTGTGATTAATTTCGTACAAGTGATGCATCGCTTGCATTTGCATCACGTACTCAAAAACCGATACAAAAGATCTTAAACAACCGATGCAATTGTCCTTTTGTAGTAGTGGCAAATTTTTCCTTTCAAATAAAATTAACAAAAACTATTGTCCCTTTATCTACTATTTTTGAAACAAGATTCAGTGAATTCAAATTAAGAAATGAAAAATTATATTCTTTATATTGTTTTTAATAGTTTAAAAAAGAAATAATGAGTGTAAGTCATATAAATATTACTTCCTCCATCCATTAATTATCTTCTTGTTTGATTTTTCATTATCTTTAATGCAATATTTTGAGCATTAATATCTCTTTATATATATAGATATATATTACAAAAATATAATATTTCATAACTTTATTTTAAAATTAATCTATTGCTATTAAATTTATACTCCGTATGACAATTGATTTAATTTTTCAAAACTTTTGGAAAAACTTTAAAAAAAATTGACCATAAAAGTCAAACTCATAAATTAACTTGTGCAAAAGAGATCACAATACTAAATGAGTTAAAACAAAAAGTAATGTACTGTAATAATGTACTCCCTCCATTCCTGAAAACCTTTTTCTTTTTTTTATTCGTCCCAAAAAACACTTCTCATTTCTATTAAAAAGTCACTTTTACCCCTTACTTTTTCATACCCTACCTATCACATCATACCTTTTTACTAATAATCTATCCATCAAATCATACTTTTACCCATCATATCAAAGGACATTTTTAGAAATTTAATACCAAAATATATTCCCCTTAAATCCATCTTCAAAATCAAAACTCTCATGTTTTCCAAGACGGAAGGAGTACTTCAAACTGTGAAGTACTCCTTCGAGTTTTCCCCAAATCTTGCATAGTTTTCAATTCCTTCCAACTTTTACAGACCTTTTTTCGAACCCTTTCAAAGTTATTTCAATTTCTTCAAAATTTTTTAAATTAAAAGTAAATAATAAAATAATAATTACTATAGTAATTTAAAAATAAAATTATATATGAAAAGTAAAATATTGAAAAATAATTAAATAAAATAATACTCGGGTAATTTATAAAAGAACAGAAAGTAATTAGACGGGAGAAAATTAGGTTGACTAAATTTTTCCAGTCTGAAATTAAAATTTTATTTACTTTTTCTAAAGTTTTTGGAACGGGCATGAGGTAACCCTAGTTTATTTGGTCTTACATACTTATTTTTAAGTTAGTTTTTTCTTCATTTTAACCAGATTACTTACAAAATTATTAACTTATAAGATTCTTATAATGAATAAGTTAATAAACAAGTACACCGGCACAGAGAAACACCCACAATAAATTGATACAAAGAATCGAGATAAATAATACTCCGTATTTGAGTTCAACTTCGGTCAAGTCTAAGAAATAAGAGTAATTTACCTAAATAGGACTAAAACATAATGACTTTCCCAAAATAGGACCATATGTTTTTATTTCCGAATGTAGGACCTTTGGTCATTATTCTTTAGTCATTATTCAAGTAATGTCTATCATTGCTGGGCATTATTTCTTCCACGAAGACATTATTAAGTCCTATTTAGGGAATAAAAAATTTTCATACTTAATTGCAAGTCTCCCTGCCTATCGCATCATACTTTTTCACTAATAACCAAACTATCACGTCTTACTTTTACCCATTACGTCATAAGCAAAATTAGAAATTTAACTAAAATTACACTTTCCTTAGTTTGGGTAAAGTCAAAATGGGAACATTTTAAAGGAACAAAGGGAGTATTATATAAAAGGGTATTTTTAACTCATAACCTGCTTATAAGCTACGGAGTAATATTTTTTGTGAAAGTAAAATGGCTTGAATGATAGTTAAGTAATTTGAGTATATTTATAAATTGTGAGGGAAAGTTTTGTAAATAATTTGGTTAAAACAGAGAAACAAATTGAAAAATGAGGCTTAAAATTAGTAGGTAAACCTACTTATTTTCCATACTTATGTGGAACTTATAATTGATCATATAAACATAGAGAATCATGTGATCTGCTCACCTATAAGTTGAAAATAACTTATAAACAATTCTGACTGACTTATAAAAACATATTATAAACACTGAGAAACCCCTACTAAAAGTAATTATCCGGTCTAAGATGCGGATAAGATGTGGTTCATCATTTCATTTGTGTTTCACCCACCACTAGTAGAAAGTTTGCGAGCAATAATGCTAGAGTGACAAACAAGGTTGTTAGAAACATCACAAACCTACCATATTTGTATTAAATTTTAACTACTTGAATTATTTTTGACTATTTTATTCTTGCCATATATATATATATATATATACTCCGATTCCTTTGCACACGGATATTTAATTTGTCTCATTTAGTATTTTCATGGTCAATTATTATTCATTTTGTTTGTTTTTACTATTCATTTTATAAAATAATGTATTCATATATATTACAGCTTGTTATCAAACAAATTCAATTAAATTATAATGAAAAAACTTTAGTCAAATCTCATCAACCAAAATGAGAAGAATATATTTAGAAAGAAAGAATATCTATCATCGTGTGATATAAATTGAGAGTAATTGATGATCATTCAATTTACTTTAAAAAAAAATTAAATTGGTCCAAAACATTGAAAGGAAGGGAGTAATTTGAATTGCTTGCTAGCATAGTACTTCCCATTTCATAGCTATCAGTGTAGTAAAGGTTCAATCAGCTTGTAATATCGACCTCCTAAGTGCAGGGTTGAAACTCGAGGATGTGGAGAAGGTTGGGTGTTTTCGTTCTTACTACGTCAACATGGTTCAACAAAAGGTTAATACTATGGTACTATAGTTTAATTAAAGTTTTTAAATTTATCTTTGTGACTCTAATCTTACTCTTTCCTTATATTGTTTGCAAACATGAATACTGCATCACATACAAAAATACTAGAGTCACAAACAAACAAATCATAAACTTCATAAATTTATTTTTTGTGAATTCTAAATGTAAATGTTTTTTATTAATCGGCCTTGTTCGTAGTGAAATGCTAAAAAGACACTGTTGAAATGTTGGAATAGTAATGTTGCTCATTGAGTTATAGAGTACATGATAGAATATATATAGGAAGAACTCCAAACGCAACTACAAATAAAAAATTGGAAACTTACTAAAATACTACATTTACCATAAATGGATGGGAATATGAAGCACACTAAAATACAAAGTCTACTATAACTAATACTACCATAATTGTTGTTGTTGTTGTTGTTGTTCTTATTCTTATTATTGTTATTATTATTATTATTGTTATTATTATTGTTATTATTATTATTATTATTATTATTATTATTATTATTATTATTATTATTATTGTTGTCTAACAGACACATTTGTGAATTTTTTGAAATGTTTGTTTGCGACTTACTCCCTCCGTTTCAATAAACCATTTCTATTTTGACTTTTAGCCAAAATAAAGAATGTATATTTATGGTTGACTTTTCAATTTTGTCCTTAATGTGATGGGTAAAAATAAGATGTGATAGATAGATTATACAAGTATATGAATATTACTAGCTCCCTCTGCCAAAGCATTCTTTCCGTTTTAGTTTACATTTTGATTGAAGTTATTTTCAGTTTGATTTATTTGTTTATAGATGTAAATTAAATTTAAAAAATAAAAATTAAGTATTTTAAAATATTCGACAAGATTGTGTTATTTTATTAAATGACTAATGAATATAGATAAAGAAAATAATTAAAATGTGACTATATAAATAGTGACTCAGGAAAAAATTTTAAGAGGAAGGGAGAAAAAGCATCCCCTTTCGCATGCTGCTCGGTCCAGATTTACCTCCCTCCATACATACTAATCAGACAGGGTGTGGGGGCCCCTGAGGTTGGAGATTCAACCTTTTTGCAACAAAAAATAAGTGTGTGGATCATATAATTTTTCTTAACCAATTTTAGCTACATTTTTACTTTCATTTTTTAACAATTTTCTTATATTATGTGAAAATCAATTAAGAAGATTTTTACGTGACACATCAAAGTCAGTATATATTAGGAGGTTTTTTTGCACATGTGCTTGATAATATTTGGTAGCGTACAACTTGTTTGATTAATTTATAAATAGCCAACTTTCTGATGCTCCAACTTATTGGGTTTTTCTTTAAGAGTATTTGGTTGTGTTTGTTCCCAACTTTTAACTGTTTCCAGCAGATTGTGCTGTCTGGGTTTGTACTCTCTGTTGCTGTTGAGAATTAGCTAGGAAAAATAATTTCATTTTTCTTTTTTTTATTTACATTATTGTTTCTCTTAATTAGCGATACTAACTTCTTGTATTATTTGAAGAAGATGATGTCTATATATATGTATATATGAGTCTTGATCGAGAAGTTCATTATTTATATTACTCCGTATCTTCCAATAATAGCTTTGTGGTGGCTCAATCCAAATTAGGGTTTATATTCCATTGAACTTTGATCTCGTCGCGGCGGTAGACAGTTACAAGTTTGAACTTTTGATCGCAGATTATATATATTTACAAAGTTTGATTATGTTAATATATTTTGTGATAGCTAGATCTCATTTCATGATCATATATTCGAGCTAGGGTTTGGGGTTTTTAATTAATTTCTGCGGATCTTGTGAATTTTATGTCTCGGTCACGTCTACGTTGTTCCCCTTCGTTTTTCGCTTGGTTCGTTACGTGAAATTTTACTTTTAATTATAACTATGCTTCATAATAAATGGTATGTTGTGTTATTACATATTGTTCTTATATTTTTTTTAATATTTGGAAATTAGGTGTTGCATAGAAGGATATGATATGGATTCGATGAGCTACACTTTCGAAGAACGAGGCTACGCGTTTTCCGAGAATGTCCTTGACGAATTGCAAACGAATACGACGTTCGCGATGAGCGGAGGTCTTCTCGATCTACACGAGAAGAACTCGAACCCGTTTCATCACACTCGTGCCAATGATCATGATCTTGATCATGATCAAAGTCATGAAGTTGAAGAACTTGTGGGTTTTGGTTTGGGCGATGTGTTGCACCAAAAGTCACCCACTTTGTGTAGTGATGATCCATGCCTTATTAGGGTTTCATCATCAAGAGGTGATGATTATGTGATTGATCACAATGATGATGTTAATGATTTTGGTGGTCAATTGGTACTATCCTCAGGTGACATTGAGGCTTGGCTTCCCCGTGACGCCCTTATTAACATGGTATCAGAGCCTACTACTACTAGTGCAACTGCTACTGCTATTGCTACTGCTGCTTTATTTCCCCACAAAGCGCCTGGAGTTACAAATTTTGAATCCATCGATTGTAACGCGAGATTAGGGGCTTGCAAGAAAGCAAAAAGCATGTGTTGCCACGGGTCGTCGACCGAGGGCTCGGAACAGCCCTCGTCGAAAAAGCCGAGGATCGCGAGTTTCAACTCCCAACAACCCCTCGTTTGCCAGGTCCACGGTTGTTTCAAAGACCTGACAACGTCGAAAGATTACCACAAGAGACATCGGGTTTGCGATGAGCACTCCAAGACGACAAGAGTCGTCGTCGATGGCATCGAACAACGGTTTTGCCAGCAATGTAGCAGGTAAATTATTAGCGTAAAAATCACTCGATCCATCCGTCACCGGTATGATCTTTCCAAGAGTATTGTATTGCGAGTTAAGACTTCCATTTTACATGCAGGTTTCATTTGCTGACTGAGTTTGACGAGGATAAACGAAGTTGTCGAAAGAGCCTTGCAGGCCACAATGAGCGTAGGAGAAAGCCTCACTACGAGCCTCACAATGGTAAATTACCTTATACTCCCTCCAGTCTAAAAAAAAATTTCCTTCTTCTTAGGATACTGTTTTGTTATATCAAATTTTTATAACATTTATTTATTCAAATTGTAAAATTGATATATAGTAGAATAATAATCCTTTTCTAGATCTACAATCACAAACTTGGTACAAAAATACTGTAAATATTACCTCTCACTAGATAAAATTGACACCTTAATATTATGAAAGGTAATGAAAGCCTTAAAATTAAAATAAAGCGTCTAATAAAAATTTTATTTAGAAGAAAGAAAACTAAGGAAGAATAAAAAATGAGAAGTGTAATATAATGTTCTTGACGGATGAGTTATACAAAAATATTAGGGGGTGTTTTCTCTGACTAGGCAATTTTTCTAGTTTGTTTTTCAAAATAAAATTGATAAAATTTTAACCATTAATTAAGTAAATAGAAATTGTATTTACATAATATACTCTATCCATTATCCCATTCTATATGGTGTGTTTAATTTGGTTTATGATATATGACTGAAATTATTTTTCATTCAGTTTATTAGTAAATTAGGGTGAAATGAAAAAAATAAAATTACATATTTAAAGTCTATATCAAAAGCTTTATAAAGTGACATGACTATATATTATTTATCAAATGACTAATTAAAATAGGTAAAAAAAAAAGGTGAATAAGATTTAACCTTCCGAATAGTGTACAAGCTATTTAATTTGAGACAAAGTAGTACTTTCTCCGTACCGTAAAACATTTAATGTATTGACATTTGGAAGAGGGAGTTGTGAAAGTTTGACCAAGGTGAAACGACGACAATCGAAACAAGTAGGGTTCGAGAAATGCCAAAACAGGTAGGGCATCAAATTCAGTCAGGCTAGGTTCGGTTAGATTTAAGAAAAGTAAGTACAATAGAATAGCGTCCATTTAAGACAAATTGAAATATTTTATGAGACATGTAAAATGTGAAAATTGAAAAATTTTACGAGACTGAGGAAGTAGTATAAAAATTGTTTCATTATACTCCGTGTTTTTTTTGTAAACACGGAGTATGAGTAATAAATTTTTGCAAATTATTTTTTATCGTTATTTTTTTCAAGCATGTTAGGTTAGTTAAAAATGGTCAAGTGTTTGATTAAGAAAATATGTGCAAGTACCCCCAAAAAAGAAAATACGTGTAGGTTTGTCAAAATAAAATAATCTAGTGACGTCATGTTCCTATTTAAAACTTTAACTAAACACACATTAAATTCACAATCTAAATCGAGGAATGAAATTCTCACATTTAGGGCATGTTCTTTAGAACTGTAAAAAAGAGCTGGATGTTGGAAGAAATTGGAAAAAAACTGGAAGGAACTGGAAGAAACTGAAAAAAACTGGAAGGAACTGGAAGAACTGGAAGGAACAGGAAAAAATTAGAAGGAACTGAAGAAACTGGAAAAAACAGGAAGGAACTGGAAGAAACTGGAAAACCTAAAAAAACTTTAAAAATATTTATTTTAAATTCTTGTTGTTATAAATTATTACTCCGTATTATTTTTTTTATTATTATTATTATTATTATTATTACTATCATCATCATCATCATCATCATTATCATTATCATTATCATTATCATTATCATTATCATTATCATTATCATTATCATTATCATTATCATTATCATTATCATTATCATTATCATTATCATTATCATCATCATCATCGTCATCATAATAATCATCATCATAATCATCAACATAATCATCATCATCATCACGTTATCTTAGTAATGTCTTTAAGATATAAAAAAAGTATAGTTATTTTTTAAATACAAAAAACTAATTTTACAAAAAATAATTATAATATAAAGTTAACATATATATAAAAATATTAAATTTTAAAAAGGCTGTGTAGTTATATTGCACCTCAATTTATTTATGCAGTATTTATTATAAATAATGTATTTGTAATTATAATTTATATATTAAAACACTTTGTTTTAAATATCATACATGTGACATAATCAAACATATTGTTTCTTATTCATATTAAAAAGTTGAAGAAAAAAATAATAAGTGTGAATCGTAAAAATAGTGAGATGAAAATAATAATTTATAAACTATAGTTATGAATATAACAGTTGTAGTAGTAGTAGTAATAATAATAATAATAATAATAATAATAATAATCACACTGAAATATATCATTTTTAGAGTAATTGGTTGAGGAGTAGAAAGAATTTGAAGAAAATGAAAAAAAGTTGAAAAAAACTGGAAGAAACTGGAAGAAGTGGAAGGAACTTGAAGGAACTGGAAGAAGTGGAAGGAACTTGAAAATTGATGTTTCCTATCTCCCATAGCCACCCACAAACCCCCTACCCCAGCCCCCAAATTAAATGTGTGACTATTACACATTGCAGCGATGTGGTTAGGGGGTGGCAGGGGGAGTAATCATTGATTTTGTAAACGGAGCACCGGAAGTGCTCTAAAGTGGCAGTGGAGTGTCACCAAACTCCGGTATCACAAAAACTCACCGTATTAGGAAATAAAGAGTATTTTTAAAGTAAAAGGGATAAAAATAGAATTGAATACTCCCTCCGGTCCTTAAAACATGAAAGTTATTGATTTTAAAGATATTTTAGTGAAGTGTGTTTTAGTATTGAATTTCCAAAAAGTCCTTTAATGTGATGAATAAAAGTAGGATTTGATGGGTAGATTATTAGTAAAAAAGTATGATGTGATAGGTAAGGTATGAAAAAATAAGGGGTAAAAGTGACTTTTTAATAGATATAAAAAGTGTTTTTTGGAACGGATGAAAAAAAGAAAGGAAAAAAGTTTTCAAGGACGGAGGAATTATATGAAATGTATCGTAATAGGAGCGAATAAGTCTTTTTTTGTGTAAAAATTTAAAAAAGTCATATTTTTGAAAATGTTTACTCCATCTGTTTAAAAAAAGTTCTTTATTTTCTCTTTGAGACGTCTCAAAAAAAAGGCTTTCCTTTTATGGAATATTTTGAGCGGTTCACAAATCACAATCTTTCGTTCTCCTTTGTATCACTTTCAACCACATGTTTTTACTTAAATTTTGTACTAAGTCAAACTAAGAGTTTTTTAGATGTAGGGAGTATGTTTTAGGACTTGTTGTCATCACATGAATGATTCTGATCTGATTGTATTAAGTTCTAATTTGATCTGGTCTAACCTAATCTCTTAGTGAGTTAGGCCCCGTTCCGTTCAACTTATTTTTTCTTATTCTTATTAAAATCAGATCAGATCAGACCAGATCAAATCGAGTCAGATCAGATCAAATCAGGTCAGAACAAATCAGATCAGATCAGACCAGACCAGACTAGATCAGATCGCATAAAGAATTATTATTTTTATTAGTATTCGTAAAAATGAAAAAGAATAAACTTTAGAAACAAGCTAAATAGAAAACTGAGAAATTAATCCTTAATTATTAGACGTCGAAAAAATTATTTTTAAAATAAATTGACAATGTCAATCTAATTCTACTTTTAAAATACATTTTTCTTGCTACCTGTAATTTGAGTTTCTAAAGTTTTGATCTTTTATAAGAATGAGATATTTTAATAAAAATACTATCTATTTTCTATATTGATTATATATAAATTAAATATTTATTCTAATGTATATATGAACTAATTATTAAAATATTAAATCAATATTCGTATTTCACAAACAATAATCATCAAATAAAAAATATTATTACATTAAAATATGAATGATTATTCTAATATATAAATTAACTAATTTTATTTTATTAAAAAATAATTATAAAATGAAAATTATTGATTATATTATAATATGAATTATCATTGCAATTTTCAAACGTTATTATAAACTCAAATCAAATTATTGATTTGAATTTTAAATCAAATCATAATTACTCATATCAGATCAGATCAGATCAGATCCAATCAGATCAGATCCAATCAGATCGGATCAGACCACATCAGATCAGATCAGAACTACAAAAAATCAGATGAAAAAAAAATAAGTTGAACGGAACGGAGACTTAGGGTGATGACTGATGAATGCAATTTTCTCTCTTTTTATGTATACAGTGGCAGGTGCAACGAGGTTCTTTGGCATGAATTCCCAGACGAGTCATTTTTTCATACCAGAACTGCTTCTTCCTGCTGGGAATAACAATTACTTCTGTCAAGAAACAGCCTTCGAAGTTGAGAACAGTATGAGGCCAATAATGGTGAAGACTAATAATAAGAAATTGGAGGAGAAGCACATTTCTTTCTCCACCCCACAACTCCAACAAGGATCACCTGGTGAAACCACCCACCATTACTCTCTTCCCAAAGACCTCCCTCTTCTCCATGCTGCAGGTATATATATACTCCCTCCGTGTCAATTTAAATTGTCTGTTTCGGTTTACGATGTTTGCTCTCATTAGCAACTAGTGTTAGATAATGACTTATTATACGAATGACTCTATGAATATGGTCATTAGCAACACGTGTTTGACAATGACTGATTATTTCACTGACTATTCAAATTTTTTTTTAATAATACTTTATTCTACTTGAATTATGTAAAAGATCATTCTTTTATAATGACTTGAAGTTTTTTAGTATAAGTTTCAGTGGTTCTACAAACAAACACCTTAAGTCATATTAATAGAATGACATTTTAACGGAGAACATTAGTCATTTTGGATGCTTGTTATTTTTCCGGCTATAAGCGAAGCACTCGCATTTTCAAAGGCAAGACATTTTAGAACTTTTTATTGTCGAACGTTATAGTAAATAAGATCGGTCTTGTTTGAGAAAAGTGATATGTTTAAATCTCATTTGCGTAAATTACCATTTCTGTTATTTAGTTGATTCCTGCTTGTGGTAGGTATACTTCTCATAAAAATACTCTCATGTATCCTCTAATATTCTAAAGTAGACCTATTAATCTACTCCCTCCGTCCTAAAACCATCTTCCAGTTTGTGTTTATGAGGTTTGACCGACTTTATTTTCAATTTAATTTATTTGATTGTAGGTGTAAAATTAAAAAAAAATTCACATAGTTAAAAACTACATTAAAAGTTCTACAAAATAAGAGGTGACAAGACTATTATTTTATCAAATAAGTAGCGAAAATAGGTAAATAAAGTGATTTAAGTTTAACCGTGTGAATAGTAACTGAAAAGATAGTTTTATGACGGATGAAGTATTATTCTAACTTGATATCAGAACCACCACTCTTAGTGATCTAAAATATTCTATCTTTGCTTTACGCGAGCGGCGCAACCGGCATTAGCCGCCCGCTGGACCTCAACCCTACATTTATGGTAGAATTCTGTGGATAAGAGTAAAAACACTATCAAAATACCAAAATAGAAATTTCATATTTTCATTCCTAAAATAGAAGTTAAATTACATATACAATACCAATCATGTTAATATATAATATCAAAAAATATCATAAAATATTCACATACAGTGTCACATTATCAAGATACTTTTTTATAGGATAATTGGGCGTAATGTTTTATTGTTATATGTTGGGCAGCTTCTCTTGCCGGGTTGAGCCAATTCCAAATGAATGCCGATTTTGGAAACAATCCTATTTCAAGCCTGAGCTCTGTGCTGCGGGGCTTGACCGGAGACGAGGGTCTGCTGTGCCCGGCGGCCGACGGAGTCATCGAAACCGACGGCAATTACTGTCGCCGCCTCCTTGACGACGGCGCAGGCGGCGTATACTATGAGAATGAGACGGATGAAGGGTTTCAGTCTGAAGAAGGCGGCGGCGGGATACCCACCATCGATTTGCAGCAGTTGTCCACCCATCTCCACAGAGTTGAGCAGCAGAGAAAAGCTCTCCTGCTCTTATAATTGTTTCTCCTCCTATAGTTATCTTCTTTGAATTGACATGATTTTTTAATAAAGTATTATACAATTTACAGAGTACGTATATGATTGTATCTTGCATTGAGTAAAAAGAAACTAAATAATGTGAATCACACATTTTTTTCTTCCAAAAAGTGAACGAAGTTTTTGAATGTTTTCTTTTACATTGTCTTTGGTTCAAGGGGACATTTCCGCTATCTTGATTGGTAGGAAGCTTACTTTCCGAATTCATGGAGAAATTTACCTTGATTCGAGCCCAAGGGAAGGTGGAGATATTGACTCTCTGTGTAATATTTGGTTGAGACAGTATGAACAGATCGATAGTACATTGTAATCGAGTCACTAACACTAAAAAATGAAATTTACTTTGTCTATATTTTACTCTTATTTAGAGCATGTTCTCTAGGGCTTAAACTCTTAACTTCTAGTTTTTTCCAATTCCTTCCAGTTTCTTCTACTTCCTTCCAACTATTATAGTTTTCTACAAACTTTTTCTACTCTCCAACTAATTATTCTAAAAACGATATATTTTTAATGTGATTATTATTATTATTATTATTATTATTATTATTATTATTATTATTATTATTATTATTATTATTATTATTATTATTATTATTATTATTATTATTATTATTAGTTATAAGTTATTTTTTTATCTCGCTATTTTTAAGATTCACACTCATTGTTTTTTCCTTCAACTTCTTAATATGAATAAGACAATTTTATATATATATAAATCTATATAATAAAACATGAAAACATCAATATTTTATATTATTAAAAAATTTTGGATAAAATAGTTACATAAAATATTTTATTAATCTAACTTTATATAAGACCCTTCACCTTTTTCTTTACTACTCAAATTTTTCTCATTTTTTTAATTTTAATAAAAAAATTGAAAGTCAAAATAGTTTTGAAAAACAGAATAAAATAGGAATAAAACATTAAAAATGTGAAAAAAAGTTCTATGTCTTTATTCCAAAAATAGGAGTTACAATGAAAATAAAATATTAATCATGAAAAAAAATAGGTTTGATTACATTATGTGACATGTCTGATATTTAAATTAAAATTCTGTAATATATAGAGTATAATTACAAATTTATTATTTATAATAAATACTGCATAAATAAGTTGAGGTGCAACGTAACCACAATAACTTTTAAAAATTTAACATTTTGATATTTATGCTAACTTTATATTATAATTATTATTTTTTTGCAAACGTAATTTTTTTTGGTGTATGAAAAATAACAATACCATTTTTTATCTTAAAGACATTCATTAAGATAACATGATGATGATGATAATAACAATAATAGTAATAATAATAATAATAACAATAATAATAATAACAATTTATAACAATAAGAATTAGAATGAGAATACTATAAATATTCACTAAAATAAATTTTTTAAAAGTTTTTTTTAGATTTTTTCAATTTTTTGAAGTTTTTCTAGTTTCTTCCAGTTCTTTCAAGTTTCTTCTAGTGCCTTCCAATTTCTTTCAACATCTAACTCTTTTTTTTCAGTCTTAATAACAGGCTCTTAGAGTCATTTCTTAGTTCAAAACATAATTTTGTAAGAGAAATTTACCTAAATAGGCCTAAAACATAATGACTTTTCCAATATAGGATCATATGTTTTTATTTCCCAATGTAGGACCTTTGGTCATTATTAATTAGTCATTATTCAAGTAAATGTCCATCATTACTAGGCATTATTCCTCCCACTAAGACATTATTAAGTCTTATTTAAGTAATAAAAAAGTTTAAGTCCTTTATTAGGAAAATCATTATGTTTTAGTCCTATTTAATGCAAATTTCACAATTTTGTAACCCAAAGCTTTACCATTTATATTTTCGTGGCTCACACTAATACAAATCACAAATGATTAACATGCTAAATAGAGGAGATTGAAACGAAGAAAAATTACAAATTGGAGGGAGATGTGCTCCGACGCTAAATTGGGTTCCCGCCATTTGAACTCTCTCTCTCTCTCTCTCTCTAAAATAGTCTGAGGACATAGACGAAGACGGTGAAGCTGGGGATAATTTCGGAAGCAGCCATGGAAGAGAAATCCGGCGGCCTGGAGATCGTCTCAATTGGCAAGCTGTACAGCGGTCCGTGGGACAAGAAGTACTGGAGCTCCACTAGGGTTCGGTCCTTTCCATTTCCGCTCCTCTTACTTTGCAGCTCCTTTTTGTTTTGATCGTTCCTCTATTTATGATCAATCGTTCGTTTTTTTTTGAATTTTATTCCGTGTTATTTAAACTTTGGAATGCGATCTGAGTTCAAAATCTCACAGTTGTGACCAAATTGAAATCGAACCAGAAGATGAATGTACTTGTGCTTCCAGGCAGTTTTGTATTCATCTTTCACGTTTAACAATACATTATACTTTAGCACAAGGCATCATCTGAATGGATGAATCTAGAAGTTCATCACATTTTATGTGTTATGTGTGCATTTTTTGCATTTGGGCTACTTATCAGAATTTTGATGAGTCATTTTTGCTTAATTATCAATGATATTGAGAAATGTTCCAATTGTGCATAAGTACGCTGAGTGTGGAAGGGACATATGATGGGCAAATTGTAAACTTGGATTATTATGTATAGAAAGTGGCAGTAGCTGGTGGATTGAATTAGTGATTCCAAAGGGAGATGAGAACTGTGAAACTCCGTCCTTTTTTAAGGATGCCACTTACACTTGTCATCTGGTGAACTCAACTCATCTTTCTGTGATGACTTTCTAGATCAATTTTTTATCATATGAAAAAGTGGTTTGTGCAGTTTAGTACAACATTACAACTTTTGCTAAGTCTTTAGATATGTAAGTTTAATAACTAATTTGAAACTAAAAGTTGATAAAAAATTAGTCAATCCTAATAAACTCGCTTTGGACAAATGTTGTCTTATTGTTAATCCTAAAAAATTAGTCAATCCTAATCCACAAATGAGCAGTCTTTGGTAAGTCAGTCTATGTGTGGTACTCTGTATTATTGTATTGCCAAATGAAATATTTTAAAATTATTATGAAGACATCTCAATTATGGAGAGGACATGGACAGGGATAAACAATAACTCAGCAGTAGGAAGATTATTGCACATTGGGATGATAACGGGTAACAATGATGTAAACCATAGATTCTCCTTGCACATAAGAAAAGAGTTTGAAAGCAATTCAGCAAGAACTAAACTGAGTCTAGACTTTAGTTTCTCTCCCTGATCATCTCATATCTTCCCATCATGGGATGTTTCTGAAGATTTGATATGACCCATTGTCTTCTTCTGAACAGTCCATTTCATATTTAAATTTTCAGCATATAAACCATAAGCTTTCCGTTAACTGTTTGCTCAAGATTATTAAAAGTCCTGACTTTTATCTATTGGATCAGATAACACTGTTAAACATAGTACCGACATTATTCGTTAGTGGTTGAAGGTAAAAGGTGCTTACACAATAACATGAGTTTTTTCAAGAGGAATAGTTGCGCTGGATTTAAGGGAACCACTTTCACATGGATTTAGCAGTTGGTTTGAAGTTCTTCCAATTTTAAAAGCTCAAAGATGAAGCTTAACTGTGCCCCCACTTGATCTATTATGTAAATGATTTGTATGAAGGGGCCATGCCTATGCCCCTCCGTAGGCATTATGTTATAAAGCATGACTCGTGAGTCACAAGCTTACATCCTTATCCATTTCAACTTTCATACTCTACATTATTTTGATTTATGCCTAACGTCATGTTTTTTTGTCTTTTAGGGAAAAGACCGCTATCCTTATCCTGTTGGATACAAAGCTTTACGTAATCAAAATGGAGTTACCTATAAATTGGAAATCCTTGAAGGTCTTAAAGGGCCCCTTTTTTCGGTGTGTTACAATGACTCAACTGCATGAAACCTTTGCAATGAACATGTTTTCCATACACTGTTGTCATTGATGTCACATCAAAGCCCCCTCCCCCCCCCCCCCTCTCTCTCTGCAGATTAGTTCTATTGATGGTCAGTCATATAGTGGGCAAACTCCTGATATGGCATGGGAGTGCTTTCAGAAGAAAGGTTGTCCTCGAATAAAGTCATTGCCTGGGAAGAGATTCTCCTGTAAAATAGACGGTGTTGAAGTGAGTGCATAATGTCTGGAAAGTCTTGGATTTGGCTAAATAAAATCAAAGCTGGGGTTGGGGGTGGGTTCTTTGTTGCATTTTCTGCATTGAAAATATTTAGAATTTAGATCTTCCTAAATTGATGACTTTTTTCTTCTCATTTCTTTTGGTTTTCAGTTTTTTGGATTCAAGAATGCATCTGTCCAGAGGTTACTCAAGGAACTAGTTGCAGATGTCACTGAAACTGCTGAGAAGCTTCCACCAGCTTCCCACTCTCACAACAACATGGTTTTGGAGACTAACAATCCAAGCCAATCCATTGAAACTGAAATAACAGGAAAGAGGAGTAGGAGAGAAAAAATAAACTCATACAATAATACTGGCCTCAAAAAGCAAAGATACGGAAAGAAACAAGGCAACTCCGATGCTTCACATTCTATTTGCAAGAAACATGAACCAGTTAATAGTACCAGAGTATTGTCAGGATCTGTGAGATTGGAATCTATATTGCAAAATGAGGAAAAACAAGTTTCAAAGGAGGACAGTTCACAATTGGTGTCTCTAAATATAAAGGATCATCCTAAAGCTTGTCGTCTCTTCCCACAAGATGAAAACGAATTTTCAACTCATGCAATTCAACCACCTTTAGAAGAAGTGGGTGTTTTGCATAAAGATGGAAACCTTGTAAGTTTTGGTTTTTGTACCCGTTTTCTATTGCTCAATAGGCATTGTGATTCCATCCCCATCTGGCATTCTGTTTTGCATAAAGATGGAAAGCTTGTAAGTTTTGGTTTTTGTACCCGTTTTCTATTGCTCAATAGGCATTGTGATTCCATCCCCATTTGGCATTCCTTACCATTCCCCCTGTGTGCTCACACATCTTTCTAATCTCCTCTCTCTTCAGGAGTTAGGCCTTTAATTGATCATTCATTCACCAATCATTCAAGTTACAACAATGTTCTTAAGTTCTAACAGTTTGACAGGTCAGAAGTTTTAAAAGCTGAGGTGCGCGGTAACCCTTTTGTAAATGAAGACAATGAAGGAACACTAGTCACAAATGATTTGCATGTAAATAATGACATGGACCTTGACACACATAATAATTTGGATCACCAAACAGGTATGTGGCATCACTAATAATGAATTGTTTTTGTTTTGTTTTAAATCAGGGCTCAGTGATTTTATTTCTATAACATTTTTTATTATTTTCTCCATGTTGGCCTGAGCAGTATTTCCAACTTATCCTCGCTAATGACGGTGATTACTTCTTTCAGATGACTCTTTTAATCTAGCCTCAACTAGTGGAAAAGATGGAATGAGTTCCCATGACACAGTCATTCCTGATGTTCTAAGAACTCGTTCTCATAAAGAAGAAGAGTTGGAAATAACTTATTCAAATTTAAGCTCATCAAAGAGTGAGTTTGAACAATATCCTCGAGAAATAGCCAAGTCAATATTGTCAATTTTACTCCCTGAGCCACCATCTCTGATCAAGACATTCTCAAGGAAAAAAAGGAATAACGCAGAGCCTCAAGGAAGATCTCTCTGTATGTCTAAGGAAGAAAATAAGAGTGATCCTGATAGTATCACACGTGGTGTGTAGACCTCTATTTTAATGTTCATCAACTACTGTTACTAATCTCTCTAGCAATTGTTTGATTGAATATTTCCCATATGTGTTATGTCATTGTATATTTGTATTTGGTTGGAATTGATAACACTATAATTAATTGATTTTTGCAACATTTCAAAGTCAGCAAGCTTTCTGCGAACTCAAATTTGGAAATGGAGGAAAAGATTGAATTTGCTCAAGGAGGTCATGCTTCCGATTTATCTTGCAGACATGTAGAATCGATAGTTCCTGATAGTTTGGATCATGATGAGGGGGCGTATGTTCCAGATACTGAACTGCCTGAATCATGTGAAATTGTAGGACATGTTGAATCCATAGTTCCTGATAGTTTGGACAATGATGAGGGTGCTTATGTTCCAGATCCTGAACTACCCGAGTCATCTGAAATTGTAGAAGCGGATAAAAGTTTTCCAGCTCTTGATACTAAACTGCATGAAAAAACCCAACTGCCAGATATTGTTGACTCAGAAGAAGGTTCACTAGTTTGCAATGATTTCCAGATGAATTTATGCGCCAATCCCAAAGGTGAGTTTAATGTCCATTTAAATCCATATCTAGAGTACTTATCATGCTTTTTGAGATTTATAATTGTTGACATATAGCTCCCATGTTTGTTGATTCCAAGTGGCTATCAATCTCAAGCCATCCCGGACCAGCCGTAAGGGTATATTCTGTTTAATTTTATATTTTAGTTATCGAGACTCCAGTTTCCCCTCTATAGACTCAAACTTCACTCCATATTTTGTAAATATTACAACTGCATACAGACTCTAAACTCTAAGCTCCCATTACCAGACTCCAGATTCCAAAGTTCAAGTTTCAGTATCCAGACTCCAAGTTCCAGTCTCCAGACTTCAAACTGACAAACTCTAGCTATAATTAAGGAGAACGTAACATGACCTAAGTCAGCACAGTCCTCTAGCATACAAATTAGCACACAACACACCTAGCTACTTTGTATTCTTTCTCAAGTGCATCTTTTTAATGATGTTATAAATTTCGGTTAGATCAAGAAAATGTAATCCAACATTTCAGTCTTCAACAATATATTTACTCCCTCCAGTCCTATGTATAGGGCACAGTAGTGTGTCCCTAAATGTAAGTTAATTTTATATTACCCTGAGTATCAATAATTCAATGCATATTTATTTATTTATTTTCACAATTGTCCTTGTTAAATGGAGCATCATTAGTGTGTGTGTGTGTGTGCGCGTGCGGAGAACTGATCCCAACTGGAATACTAGATTTGATTAATGCTTATTTGAATATAGTTCAGTGACTGAAAAGTCATCTAATTGAATTATATTGCCTCTGTACTTGCTTGCTGAATACCTTTTGTAGGAAAATGTATGCACTAAGGTTTCTTTTTGTGTCAGACATGCGGAGCAGTGATACCAGTATGGCTTGCAAGACGACTTTGGTGACAGCTTTAATGGAAAATGTTACTAACACCATAAATATATGTGGGGCTGTAAGTAGTGAAAACGTCTCTATTGTTGAACCAATGCTAGAAAATGTTCCTCTATCAGAAAGCATCATATGTCGGGAATTCAGAGATGACTCCACTGCAGAGGTATTTGCCAAAGCGAGTTCTTCGAGTGCTTTACACACATCACAAGGGTATTGCCAAACTCAAGAGGAAAGAAACTTATTTGGTAATGAACAGAAAAATGATCCCTCACTGCTATGCCCTCATGTTGACGATAGAGCAACAAATATTGATGGTGTGCTTCATGATGCGAGCCCTTTGTTTCAAAATCAAGAAAATAGTAGGATATTGGATGGTAAACATAATTCAGATGCTCACCCAACGAATTCTTGCCAAGAAATATTTAAACTTGATGCTGCAGCCGAGCACCTTCGAGATAAAAATTGTGTTACTTCGTTGTCATATATGCAAAATGAAAGAAATGATACTTCTGGTGGCTTGAGCGAAAAGCAACTTGAAAATAATGGTTCAATCATGGATATAGAAAATAGTAAGAGCAAGCTAAAAGGCGCTTTGAAGATTGTTGCTTGCTATGTTCATCCTGAGCCAGTTTCAATGGTACTGGTGACAACTACCGAAAAAGAGGTTCATATATGTGTTTTAAGTGGGCCCAATTTGCAAAAGGGAAGAAAGCTTTATCTATACAAGGCACCCATAATGGGGGAAGATGAGGGACACCCTTCTTTTGTTGGATATACGTCATTAATGTTACCATTTGGAAGAGATGTAAGATGTTTCTGCTTTTTATTTTCTGTCATTTCTAGCTTTTACACACTTTTTTCTGATAAGTTATTGTGCTTTCTCTGTAGATCGAACTAGACAGTTCTGCTTTGCAGTTTTCTCCTTACGGGCAATACCTGTTGTTGTTGAACTGTATAAAAGTTCCGTGCTGCAGGTTACAAATCTTCAAATATAGCCATACACAACAATTCTGCATTGGTACTTTAGATCCTAACCTCCTAATTTTTTCAGGAAGGGTGATGTAAATTGTCGCTGCTCAGCATGTGCATCAGATCTCCATGATAATGCAGTAAAAATCATGCAAATTAAAGCTGGTTATGCTTCAGTAATAGCTAGATTACAATCAACAAAAAGTGTCCGCTGCATATTAGCATGTATGCCTCATCACCTAATTGCTGCTGATAACAGTGGGACGCTTTACATTTGGGTAATGGACTCGAAATGGAGGTGACTACTTCTGATTGTTGCCCATCAAATTGAGTTCGCCATTCTATTCATACTTCTCTATTCACAAGAAATATATGCATATATTGATGCTTTTTTGCGTTAGTTATTTTTTTAATACACAAATTGGAGTCTTTAAGACTAGTATATGTGCAAGATGTCTTACTAATAAAGTGACTTATTGAGTGATTATAAGGTGCTCTTCTAGAAGTTGCTTGACTTAATAAATTTTAGTTAGACCTTCTGCAATTTAGTACTCCGTATTAACTTGTTCAATGATTTGACATAACTTGACTTCATTTATAAATGGAAATGTAATGTGGCTTGAACACTATGTTTTTTCCAGTTTGGTCCAAGTTGATTAAGCATTGATTATATTGTTGTAACTGAAGAAATAAAAATATGTATCAATGGCTCATTATTTTGGATTAAACAATTTATCTTTACATCTGTTTCTCATTATGAGGCTTAAATGCAGAGAGAAGACAGACGAGTGTTTTGTGCAATCACCAAGTTGCATGACCCCTTTAACAAGGTTGAAGAGAATACCAAACCTTGTGCATCTGGTCCTTGGTCTTAACGGGTTTGGGGAGTTCAGCTTATGGTAAATAAGTTCTGCTTATCCTCTGTTTTCTGCATTATGCAGTGCACATCTCACAAACACACTCACACACACACTCTCTCTCTCCCTCCAAAGTGCAGGACTGATGTAAAACTATATAAATTTTATTTGGAATATTCCTTGACCAAAATATAGGTAAAACACCCAAAATTGCATCAAGTTTTTTATTGCATAGTACTCCATATTATTCTTGTTACAGTTGCTGTAAAATGATGCGTACTGCTCCATACATAATGTTAATCATGGCCTTTCTACATTCTATGTTCAAAAAAGTTGACTTCATTAGACCAAATCATTTTGCAAAATTGTAATTTCCTATCATATTCTTTTTATTAGCATAAGCAAGGAAAAATGGTTTTAACATATTAGATTGTGTGGGTTCATGGTGTTTAGATGGTAATCTGCTAGTATAAAACTATAGTCTATTTCAAATATTTTTCCCCTTTTTCATGCTATGCACTCTAACATCTTTCTCAGTCTCATTCTCTTTGTTATTCCACAGGGATATAAACAGGAGAGTTCTTGTTTCCAAATTCTCTTCTCCTCACACTTCAGTTTTCCAATGTGTTCCTCTTAGTCTGTTTACATGGAAAGCAAGATGCAATATCCTTCAAGACCTGTACATTGAGGAGGTTTTTAATGAAGTCGTGGATGCCACAAAGGCATCATTTTCAGGAAAAGGTGACACCGATACTGTCTGCTACTTAGAAGGTGACGAGGTGGGTGTTTGGCTTTTGGTTTCAACTACCCTTGGTTCTGATAAAGCTGGGTATCAATCAAGTGACCTAAGTGATCCAGTTAGATGTTGGAAGCTTGCTTTACTGGCTAAGAACACCGTAATCATGGGAGATGTGCTGGAACCCAGGTAACCAGGACATAACTTTAGGCCTCTATGGAGACATACTAAATAAAAGATAATTTGATTGTATATCATCTTTGAGGTTTTTCAACAACAAATCAACAACCTACCCAGAGGAATCACATGAGTGGGGCTGAGGCTTAAGGGGTGTGTGTATGCAGACCTTACACCTGCCTCTATACTCGTACATTTTGACTCATCCCGATTTTATATTTCTTGTTTGAAGATAAGCATGCTCCTTTAAATCACCTCGGTAGGCTTTGTTTGGAATTCTGAAAACGGCAGGGAAATGAAAAAAAATTTAACACCGTGTTTGGTTCAAGGAATTTTGAAGGAAAACAAAAGAAAATGATTTTCTCACATTTTCTCACCAAAATGGAAGGAATTTTATCCTCCCTTCTCTTACAACATTTTGCATTTTCATTTTCTTTTCCTTCCATTTTTCTTTTCTTTTTCTCTCTGTCCAAACAAGAAAAATGGCTTTCCATCTCATTTTCTTTTCTTTTCAATTTCAAATACCTTGAACCCAACATAGTGTTAGAATTTAAAAAAACTTAAGGTCGACTGTATGGGTGAGTATCCATATGATAATGATACTGTTACTGCTCACATTCATTATTGCTTTTGAGGTGAGAAAAAAAGTTCTTTTGCTGTGCTTGAACTTGAAAGGATTTGGTCCAATTCATTTATTGTATTTCATCGCATTGCCTTTCCCGTGAATCATAGAAATCCAATTTGTTGCAGGGCTTCTGCTGTGGGTGCCTCCGGTGGCCATGGAATTATCGGTAGAAGTGACGGACATGTCTACCTATGGGACTTCATCACTGGAACTAAACTTGGTAGCTTGCACCACTTCAAAGGTAAAATAGTATTGCTACCATTTCACTTTTGATCATAGGTTTAATTATTGCTCTACCATACTCACTATATACTCCCTCCGTCCCAAATTACATTGACTATTTACTATTCACAAGGTCAAATGTTATTCACTTTCTATTCCTATTTTCATTAGTCATTTGATAAAATAATAGTCATGTCACCGCTAGTATTTTAGAACTTTTGATGTACTCCGTAGTTTTTAAATATGTAACTTGTATTTTTTAATTCTACATCATTTTTCATATAAAATGATTTGAAAATAACTTCAGTCAAACATCATAAGCCGAAACAGGCAATTCAAATTGGGACGGAGGGAGTACCAAGTATACGTTTTTTTAATATTTAAAATTTCAGACCAGCTAATTGGTTGGAAAGTTTTTTTTCATTGTCAGATGGGTCGGTTTCAAGTATTGCAACAGATGATTCACAGACCGGAGCCTTGGCCATAGCTAACGATGGAGGTCAACTGCTTGTGTATTTGCCCTCTTGAACTCACACCTTCTTTTGCCAGAAACTTCTTATATGAGAGACTCTGCATCAGCAAGCAATATATGGGACTGGTATGTAACATGATTGAACATTACAGCAGCATTATCGTTGGTTTTACGCCTCCCAGCTAGTGAAACTCTGCTGTATAGTAACACTGTCAAATGATGTTAATATGAGAAGCATATTTTATGGTTCACTGAGTGATGTTTTGGTTTTTTTTTTTTTCGTTTTGTTTATGTTTTTAATCGTGTTGGCGGTCTAGTACCACATGATGTTTTTGTTTATTCTAAAAGAATCAAACACTTGAGTGCTTCTGAAAAATGGATTTTGCCATTTTGGTGAGCAGAATTGCTAGAATCCAAATGCATCACCAATTGATTGATTGTGCTGATTCCCAAATGGTAGAACATAAGATCTAGTGTAAGTGTAATGGTAGGTTAGGTGGCACAATTTGAGGGATAAGAAAAGGAAGGAGAACATAAGATCGAGTGTTGATTCAAAGATTAAATTATACACATTGAGTTTCATAAAAGGTAAATATGTAATTTCACAGAATTACACAGAATTACCCACACATTTAATAATTTACAGTATTACTTCAATAATCGTTCAATTTGCATACAACTCTTGCCTAGTAACATTTTAATATGGAATTAGAAGACTGATTTGGCAACTAAAGTAGCTTACTCTTTTCTAAAATCAACACTAAAATATCTCTTCTTTAAATTTTATGAAAGTAAAAAAAAAGTGCAATTTTGAGACGAAAGGAATAAAAATAATTTGGTTTTTAGAGATGGTAATATTTTTTAAGTATAAATGCTTCTTATTCATGTATAGATTAAAAATTTATCATGCTCATTTTTTCTTTTTCTTTGAACAATTTTGAAAATNCCCCCCCCCCCCCCAATTTTCATACAAATACTTCGCCTGCCACATTAAAAAAAAATAGATTTTAGACTTATGTTTAATTGATTGAAATAAAAAAATATGAAGAAAATAGATACATTTCAAAATAAATTATAAATTTAATGTATGGAGTACTTATTTTACGGAGAAAACAAATTTTTCCTCTCTATTTTCATACAAATATTCTCAGTCTGCTCTATTTTCATACAAATACTTTGCCCGCCATATCATAACAATTTAGATTTATATTTATTTGATTGAAATACAAAATAGGATAAAAATTTAAAAAGTTCAAAATAAATCGTAGACTTAATTTTTGAAGTACTTATTTTATGAGTTTTTAAAATAGCTATAAAAATAAATAGCATTATTTATTTTTATCTAAAAATAAATATGAATAATATATAATTAAAAAAAGTTATTATCATCTTTAAAGATCAAGTAATATTGAGGGAGTACTTATTATAATTTAATATGCTCAAATTTATTTTTTATTATTTTCGCAGTTCAAGGAAATAATGCCGAGCAAGGAATAAATTGTTTTAATTATCATTCCAAGCTTCTAATTCCACGTAAACATGTGACTAGACAATTGATGTGGTGTGCGGGAATTTCGTATGAAAATAGAGAATTATTATAGCAGTAGTGTGAATTAGTCTTAAAAACTTTTCTTGTTTTGACTTTATTGGTTAAAGAGTAATACTCTTTGATTATAAATTTGAAATATATATTTAATTATAATATCAATTCAATATAATTAGGTTCATCTTAAGATATAGTTTGATATATCAATTTTTTATATTATTTATTTATTTAAATTATGTCTAATTTATAGTTAAAAATGTAACTCTTTGACTAAAAAATCAAAACAGAAAAGATTTTTAAAACGATAGGAAGTATTAAACTTAGGAGTGACACTATGAAATCAAAAATTTGTTGGAGGATCCTTGCAAAGTTTCCAACATTCATCATATTTAACCGGTTAGGCTTCTTGCCCAACACACCGAGCTATTTAGGGCACAGAAATCTCTCTGAAGAATAAGAAAAAGGAGAAGAGATGCCGACGATAACGAAGCTATGTTCCATGGCAGAAGCATCTGAGCACAAGACCAAGGGCGATTGTTGGGTCGTTATTCACGACAAGGTCTTTCGATGCTGTTTTTTTCCTATCCACATTAGATTTTTTTAATATTTAGTTCATAAGAATTTCGAATTAAATGGTAAGGTATGAGTGTTTATGCCATGTTCCATCTGGTTGATTTGAAGTTCACTCTGATTTCAAGTAGTTTTTGACTCTATTTATCTGGATTAGACACTCAACTGGAAGTTTTGCAATATGTTATAGTTGTGGCTGTGAATCTGCGATTGGCTGAGTTCTTTAGTGCTCCTATTTTCGGTTTGGGCATAAAAGGAGGAGAAGTGCGCAGGCCTTGGTAATGAGAGGAGAGACACTTGCAGTCGTGGGCGTGAGAACGGGTAGAGGCAGACCTAGGAATTGTTGGAAAGAGTCCAGGATTTTTTACTTCCGGGTCTCGCCGAGTATATGGTCTTAATAGGAACTATTGGAGATCTAGGGTTAGAGGAGGTTGGTTGACTTTTGGAGCTTAATTTGTAGTTTAGGTAACAAGGTAAGCTTGTGCTTGAGTGCTTTCTGTGCTTTGTGTGTCTAATTATTAGTGCCAGTATGTGTACTTCTTAGGTCTGTGCTCTTACTTTGTTCCTACTTCCTACTATTGTGTTTACTCTGTATGTGTATCTGTGCTTGAGTCATGGTCTCTTGGAAACCAGCTCTCTACTCCCGGGTTGGGGTAAGGTCTGTACACACAACACACCTTTCCTTGGCGGATCCTTTTTCTGTGGGATTTTATTGGATTTGTTGTTTTTGTTGTTGTTGTTTGGTAATTTTCTTGTTATCTAGTGGTTTAGAAAAAAAAAAAGATGATTAGGTCCGAACATTATGAGGGTTCCACCATTTTTTGCTTCAATGATCTTAGATCTTGTGATAGGGTTTCTATGCAACAATGAAAGATCCTTTTTCATCTGTGAAAGGCGTGCTCAAATATTTGAAGTGTTGAATTCTTCATTCTTGATTACTTTTGTATTATTATCCACAGAATTAGATAATTTAAAATGTGTCTTCCAATTTGTAAGGGACCTCTTGTGATTATCCATAGAATTAGATATTTTTTGGGGGGTTAAAAGTTAGAGTGCTAGACCAATCGGGCATCCCTCACAAAGTGTCCTAGCTTATTGACTTCTGGAAAAGGTCCCGCCGTGAGGGTATAATGCAGGCAAATTTTTGCATTTGAACTGCTGTGCCAATAATATACTCCATCAGTCCCAAAATAAGCTTAGCATTTTACCTTGTGGCTCTCATCATTTGTCTTTTAAACAAATTCTAATCATGCACTTCGCTTTTCAACACTTATTAAAGTTCGATAAATCAACCATGAAAATTATTTTGGGACGCATGGAGTATTTTGTTTAAATATTGAACTATGACTATTAAACTGGTTCTTTTTACATACGTGCTTCATCTCCATCATCTTGAGTGTTATGTACGAATATTATCTCATTTATTAGTATAGTATTATACTCCCTCTTATTTCATTTATAACTGTCTCAACCAGCTTAATGCTGGTCTATTTTGACTATTGTACAATTGACCAGTACCTTGACTAGCAACATAACGGCTTTTAATACCTTGGGTACAACCGTACCATTTTCAACCAGAGTGTTGGTATTTCACGGATATAAGATTTCAATCTTACCTTTGATGGAAGAAGTCTCAGTCTATGGTGTTAATGACTTAATGCCAATTTCCAAGTCATGGACTGTTCTGCCCCTACATGAATGAGTGTTCAGTTTAAAAAAACCGACGCACTTTGGATTTTCTGGGAATTTGAGAAACTAGTCTCCTTGAGGCAACTTTTGATTGATATCAACTATGCCTTTTACTGAAACTTTGAATGAACTGACCTATTCTAAACGATCAGGTTTATGACGTCTCATCGTATATGGATGACCATCCAGGTGGAGATGATGTATTAACAGCTGCCGCTGGTAAGTCCTATTTGGTTTCATTGTTTCACAGTAATTTTATGTCTCATCCCTGTATACTTTTCTACTCCGTAAATGCCTCACATATATATGAGCGTAAGGCCTTATATGTTGTTAACCAGAACAACAAAATGCCATTTAAATGTAAAAAAAAAAAAGAACTCTGAGATGGATGGAATATTGATTCTGTGTTTGACTTGGGCTTCAATTTGCTTGAAGGAAAAGATGCCACCGATGATTTCGAAGATGCCGGGCATAGCGAAAGCGCAAAAGAGCTGATGAAGAAATTCTTTATTGGGGAGATTGATCCAACTGCCCCCACCATCCCTAATAAACAGGACAACCATTCAAACCAGTCTAGCTGCAACATATCTCAGAAGGTCATCGATTTCACCAAACAGTATTGGGTTCTTCCCGTCACCATTGCTGGCATCTCCGTGGTTGCCGGTTTCTTGTTCTTGCATAAAAAGTTGCAATAGAGTGCTAAAAGCCTCCTTCAGAGGAATCGGATCGGTTGGTTTAGGCATAGTATTACTCACAAGATGTTGCCGAAATTCTGCTTGTACGGTATTACAGGGTTTACGACACTCTAAAGAGAGTAGATTCTATTATTTGGCATTTTAATTGTAGAATTGAATGCCATGACTAGTGTTTTTGCTGTGACATTGTGGAAAAAAAACACTTTTGAGGTATGATTTTTCTTGTTTTGACTTTTGAGGTTGTCTGTTGTCATCTAACTGGGGCTGTCTGTTGTTTAGAAAGTGCATTTTGGGCTAATTGAGATGCTTGACATAGGTTAAGCATTTTATTAGAAGTGTTTGATAAACATTTTTTTAAAAGGACTTTTTGATCCCAAAGAGTTGGTTTACAAAAAGTGTGAAATTCAAGAATGAGAATACAAATAGTTATTTGTATTCTTTATGTATTCAATTTCGAATCTGAATATTTATCAAAGTTTTTTTATACAAATAATAATACTCTTCATTTGATCTGATCCAGTTCTTTTGCAGCTTAAACATGACACTGCTACATACTATCAAAATATATAAATAAATAAATAAAACTACGGGGTAGTACATATAGTGGGAGGAGTACAATAGCATCAGAAAAGATATGTAACCAAAATGGGAGAGAAATTATAAAGGGAGAGATTTCTTGATTATAGCTTACTTTAAAACCTTAAATTGATGACATGTTTGGAAAGTCAATATAAAACTACAGAGCATTACCATACAAACTTGTCCATACAAACTCGTGAAGTCAATGTGTGTGAATTCATTTGGGGGAGAGTATATGATTACCAATCTATTTCTTCAACAAAAAAATGCTAGGAAACTGTTAAAAATGATAATTACATACAGTATAATTTATACATACACAGACGATAATCATTCGTGAATGCAGATGATTATCATCTATGTATATATAAAATCACATAGGATTGTATCTATAGACGTAATCGTGGTGATTCCTAGCATAATTCTTTCTTCAACAGAAAATGCTAGAAACCCACCATGGGTGCGCCCCAGATGACAATCACAAATAATTTATACACGCACATATAATAATCGTCTATGACCATAAATGATTATCGTTCGTTTATGTATAAAATCGGTGGTTGTAAATCTAAGGAGGCAAGTGGTAGGTTCCTAACATGACCCTTCTCTTCAAAAATAATATAATCATTTTAGTTTAGTTTACACAATGGTTCAAGGAATTAGAAAAGAAAGAAAAAGAAAAAAATTCTCTCATTTTTCTCCCCAAAATAGAAAGGAATTTCATTCATTTTCTCTTCTCATTTTCTTTTGCTTCTATTTTTTTCTTTTCATCACTAAATAAACAAGAAAAATTGTGTTACATGTCGTTTTCTTTTTTTTCTCTTTCAAATTCCTTGAAGTAGACCGTGAGTTAATACATTTTAGCCCAAAAAAACAAGCTCCTCATATTTTTTGAGAACCATGAATTAAAATTGAAAATTAGCACAAGAAGAGCATCAAAGAGAACTAATCCATTGAATCAACACTTGTATAGAAGAAGGCAGAGTAGTCAACTGTTGGAATACTTGCTGCATTTGGAATTTTGGAGTACATGAATCCAACAGGATAGACTTACAAACGAATCGTGAAAACGCTATGAAATTAAAGTAATTCTGATGGTATTCCAAAATTCTTTAATCTGATAAGACGTAAACTTTCTAAAATGAAATATGCGTATTCTACGTCCAACCCATACCACAATGCAAGTCTATTTACATAACGAACCATTATTTTTTCTCATTTCAAGATCGGCCCTGCAAAGGACTAAACATTTACCCCGGAGTAAATGTTTTATACAATTATACCCAATAACATAAAAGGGGTCCAATCAAAAGTTTAAAAAGAACCCCCATGAAAACTCCATAATCTATTGGGGCCATATAGGGGAATTAATGATAATTATTTGACAAACCAAGTCAAGGAATGGCTCCAATATGCTCTACCAAGTGTTCTCAGAGGACACCACCCTACATAGTAAGCTACTACTAATAACATGATGTGACAGCACATATCCATAAATATACATGTAGATAGATCGTACCGTTGCAACCCCAGGAGTAGTTCCAGCTGCCACAAAAACACGGTTTTTAGAAGTTGAAGTGCCCCACCCCAAAATTGTCGATGTAGATTGCCGTTTTGTTATGTGTTTGCAGCTTTTCTTTCTTTTTTAATTCAGATGCATCAGCCTTGAAAGAATGGACAGATTCGTCCGCTGATTTGGTGGATGATTCCATAGATTTCTCCGACGGGTTTCCTGATTTATTAGTTCCACTGTCGGTGGAAGAAGGAACCGGCACACCAACGGATTTCATCTTAGCTTTTCCAACAAATTTGTTCTCAAAAGCTCTTCTCACCTGCCACACTTTGTCGTCGAATTTGTGGCCATTAAGAACTTCCACTGACCAAGCCGCGTCATCTGCATCCTTAAAGTGGACAAATCCGTAGCACTTTGATTTCCCATCTCCATCTCTCATGAGTACAACGCTAGAGATCGTTCCACCAAAGCAATGAAAAGCATTCCTAAGATCGTCTTCAGTTGTCGACTGAGATAAGTTCCCAACAAAGACATTAGTGGGGCTGAGTTTTGTCTTCTTTACACCCATGCCTCTTTCTTGCTTGCTGACAAAATATTTTACACGCACTTGCTTGCCATTCAACATTGCACCGTCCATCTTCTCAATAGCTTTCTGTGCAGCTTCCTCGCTGTCATATTCAATATGGCCGTACCCCTTGGACACACCTGATCCATATGTTACCACTTTACAAGAAAGAATGTTTCCAATTGCTGAAAAAAAATCATGGAGCATCTTGTCGTCAATTGCCATGTCCAAATTGTTTATAAAAATGTTTCTTCCGCCACATTTGAGATCCCGGGCCTCTTCATGAGAATGGTTCAGGGTCGAGTTCATTCCATTGCTGGTGCTTCCATCTTGAGGCTTAACCAGCATCTGTGCCATTGCATTTTACCAAAATTAGATTTAAAATGCTTTCTTCTGTACTTCTTTTTTACTTCCCTCATATCTTTTCCCTCATATGATTTACATTCTCCATCAAACTAGACAAGAAACTACAAGGAATTCACCACATTGCATGAAAATAAATAGAAATTCTAGTTTTGACAGTACTATTATATGTTTGCCTTGAATGTAAGCATGATTTTCTAAAGCAATTACCTCATCAATAGATTTATGTTGCTGTTCTAGAGCATTTTGTGCTTCTTTCAGTTTGATTTCATCAGTAGTGCAAGAAGAAATTGATTCCATTTTTGGATTACTGCTATTATATTCACCAAACACAGAATGCTCATTATTAAAGCATTCATCATGTGTGCTTGCGTGACCTCCCTGGCTGCCAATAAAGGGTTGTCCATCCACACCTCTATGGTGATTGTTGGGGTTATTAAAACATCCATCATTTATGCCTTCACGACTACCCTCGTTAAACGATTTGTGTTTATTGCCTCCATGCTCTCCATTATTCTTAAAATGTTTATGGTTACCACCTCCATTGTTGTTTAAGTGTTTACGGTCTCCACTTCCATAGCCCCCCCGACCACCACCCCTACAAAATCCACCTCCACGACCTCCACGAAATCCACCTCTGCGGCCTCCACTTCCAAGACCGCCCCCGTCACTACCTCCACCGTGAAACCCACCAAAACGACCCCCATCTCCATGAAGTCCATCTCCAAGACCTCTACCTCTCTGACTTACACATCCACGACCTCCACCTCCACGCTGACCACCTCCACGAAATGCACCTCTGTGAAATCCCGGGTTGTTTTTTAAAGGTTCACTATCCACACCTCCACCTTTTCCCTGCTTGTTCGAGTGTTGATCATCTTGGCCTCCATGAACCCTCTGGTTGTTGTTAATGTGTCCGTTGTCTACAGCTCCAGGACTTCCCCCCTTGTTAAAGCGCAGTCCATTGCCGTCTCCAGGACCTCCTCCATGAATTCCCTTCTTGTTAATGTTTTCACCCTCTCGACCTCCACTACCTCCCTGGTAGTTGTCAAAGTGTCCACCAATTCTGCCGCCACGACCCCCACGGCAGGAATTTCCTCTATATCCTTTGAAAACTTCACACTTTTTCCCGTTGAGATCTGCTGTGCTTGTGTCATTATCGTCCCTGCAAAATCCACTAGAGGAATTGCCACTACACCAATCCTTGGAGCCAAAGTTGTTGAACTCTCCAAAAGCTTTACTAGCTCCATTTGTCTCCACAACCTACAAGCGTAAATATGATATGTTTGAAATTTATCTGCTGCCAAATAGGTACAAGTTAAGCAATTCACTAACAGACAAATTTTTCAAGTACTCTGATCATCAAATCTTAGCCACACAATTTGAAAATAGTCAAACTTCATGAAAAAAGTTGTTAGAATTGTTTTGGTCACATTGGAAACCATAGTTGAGAACTAACCAAGATTTCACTAAAATGCATAAACTTTGGAATCTTGTTCGCAAACTATGTGGCATCAATGCAAGTTCATACCTTGGCATTAGCTCCTTTTGATCCAGGTGCATCGGCACAGACTGCATGGCTGGACAAAGCTGATTCATTCACATGCTTCTCCAGATAGAGTGGATCCCAAAGAGCTTCTTCTGATTTAGTAGCATCAACAGTGCAAGATGAGGCCAATTCATCTCCAACCTTCTTCAGAGTTGGTTCTGGTGCTTTACCTTTGTACTTCTTCTCGAGTGCATCCCAAGCTTGTTTAGATGTTTTGGCATTAGCGATGCAAGAGAAAATGGATTCATCTATAGACAGCTGGATTAATAACAAGGGTGCAGCATCCCTCTTTCGAACATATTCAACCTCCTCAACAGTGAGCTCCTCCTCTGTATAGCCTCCTTCCACCAAGTCCCAAAGATCTTGGTACATTAACATAGTCTTCATCTTACTGCTCCATGTCTCATATCCACTCCCGTTGAACCGCGAAATTCTACTCAACAAGAAGCTTTTGATGTTTTCCAATTTACAAAGCAAAAAAAAAAGAAAAAAAAAGGTTAACACATAGAAATAGAATCCCTGTGCAATTACTATAATAAAGGGCATAGATCCCAAAAACATATCTGGGTTCTTTTATCCCTTTGACTACGATCATTCGTTATGATAATTTCATTTACACTCTTTATCCCAAAATGTTCTTCACACTTTCCTTTTCGCGTCGTCCCAAAGAGTTCTTCTCATTTCATTTTCCTTGAGGACACAATTATGTTGTTTACATTGATTCATCCTTCATAACAAATATCAAACAGACAATTTCACACTTGCATTGTGTTGCTAAGTGAACATCATACAATTACGGCAATTAGACAAACTACTTTAGAAACAAATAATATTGATTCCTCTTTTTTACGGCAATAGAAATCTCAGCTTAAGGAGAAGAACATCATGTTCGGAGGTAGTGAGTTTCTGGTCTGAACAGTGAATGCGATCACGCACTCAATTGAATCAGAACTCAGAAGTTTACAAAACTAACCACAATTCCTTGCGATCTTCACTCGATTATGCGGAGATAAATAAACAGAAACACAAATTCACAGATCCATAGTTAGACACACACAAAAAACAAGGAATTGAGTTCAGATCATTACCCAATATCGGCAGGTTGTTTCTCCGCAGCCTCTACGGCTTTTCCCGGTTCGTCCGGTGTTTCCTTGTTGAAGTATCCGAGTTGCTCAGCAACTTTGGAGATTGTTGCGACGGCCGTCACGGCGGCGAGCACGGTGGGATACATCTCCGGTGGAAAGGCGGATTGGGGAATGGAATCTGAGAGAAAAGGGGAAATGGGAAACCCCTGTGAATAGGTCGATAGGTCAATCACTTTAAAGGACGGACTTTGTGGGGTCAACTGCGCGAAAAAAAGATGATAAACTAATTTGAAATGAAATGAGTTTGAACTATTCGCCATATTGATAGGATGAGCCCCATTCCAGGGCCCTCATACCTGGTCGGGCCGTAACTCAGAGGAGATAAATTGATTTTTTATTATAGATTGGTGGTAAAGAGTGGAGCATGCACATAGTAATTACAGAGATCACATAGTTAGCATAGTTGCTCCTCAGCATAGTTAGCAGAAACCAAAATCAAGTGTTACCCCATTGGCACTCCTATCTTGCCAACTGCGCAACGCCCACCGGCAAGATGTCGGATTGTTATGTATAATGGTGGAGACCGGGTGGTTCTCGAGGACCGAGACTCATCCCATTTTTTATTGGTTCACATTGACACAAGAGATTAGGATGCATTCTCTTCGGCTGATCTGATTTGAACTAAATTTTTCAAGGCTCGTCTCATCTGATATAATCTGAATTCATCTATTATGATCGAAATGGATCTGACTTGATCTGATCTGAATGAATCTCATCATATCAGAATGAATCTGATTTAATCTGAATGGTTTAATTCAAATTCAAATAATAATTATAATAATTATTATTATATTAAACATAATAGTTTATTTTTTTATTATTATTAATAATTATTATTAATATGATAAAATAATAATTTTTATTACTCCCACCGTCTCTTAAAGATTACCACAATTTGACTTTTTTGTCAAACTGTAACACCCTTTAACCGTGAATTATGGAAAAGGTATATTTAGTTATAATATAAATTTAGTAAAATTGAGTTTATTTTAAAATATAGTTTTGAAATAAATATTATCATTATTATCATCATAATTATTATTTTAATAATTATATTTATTAATATTATTATAATTGATAATAATTAATTATTTTATTAATTATTATTAATAATATTAAAATAAATTTTTTTTATTATTAGTAATTATAATTGTACTTATTATTTATTATTATTTGCATAATTATATTTATTATTATTATTATAAATAATTATTATTATTATTATGAATATGAAGTGTTATGATTAAAGATGAAGATTATCAATTATTATTATTATTATCATTATTATTATTATTAATTTTATTATTATTATATTTACAAATAAATATCATTATGAATTTTTATTATCATTATTATTAATTACTATCATTATTATTAATTTAATTATTATTGATTAATTTTTTATTGTTATTTTAGTAATCATTTTTCTAATTAGTATTATCATTTGTTATTATCATTATTATTAATTATTATTAGTTAAAAATAATTATTAACTTTAATATTATTATTAACTAATAATGATAATAATAATTGTTGTTGTTATTGTAATTATTAGTATTATTTTAATATTATTTATCTTGTAAATATTTTTAAAATCTGAATCGATCTAAGCTGATCTAAACTTGTCTGAATGAATCTAATCTGATTTAAACTTATCTGAATGAACCTGGACTTAATTACACAGAATTATTTATATGCATCATAAAAATAGTGACATAGAAAAAATAAAAACATACACACTCAATTATTTATAAATATTTCTTATGAACGTAATAATAATAATAAATATAATGATAATAATAATATTAATAATAATGATGATGACGATGATAACAACAACAACAAGAATAATAATAATAATAATAATAATAATAATAATAATAATAATAATAATATAATGCTTCAAAAAATGATATATATTATTATTATTATTAACATGTAAAATATGTCGTTTTAGAATTATTGTTTGGTGAAATTAGAAAGAGTTTGAAGAGAAAATATGAATGGTCCGAAAGAATGGGAAGAAAAACGTCATCTTAATAGAAATTGGGAGGAAAGTCAAATTTAGTTTGCTGTAGTTAAAAGCTTTGAAATTTATTTTGGGATAGAACAAGTAACCAAATTAAACATAGTTTTTTAAGAAAAAATTATCAAAATACTCCCAACTTTATCCGGTCTTTTAAAAATAATCTTACCTTTCACTGTGATGCATAATAATCCCAACTTTACTGAAATTTGTGAGTTTTGGGTCGCCGTTAAGTTTCTAACGAAGGGTTAACGGAAATACCTATTTTATGCAACAAAATGAAAGTTGGGATTATTTTTGATGAATTTTAATTTTTTAATTTTTTTTGAAATTTTCATTTAAATTTTTTGAATTACTTTCAACCTCCATTTCTTTTTCTTTTTTCAAGATTATTTTTACCTTAGAAAAAATAAAAAAAATAGATATAAAAAACAATGAAAATGAGAAAAATAACTAAAACCATACAAAATTAATCAAATAAATAATGTAATCAATAGAAATTAAACAGAAACTGGTAAGAAATAAAATAAATATATATGGAGTGGTGGGTTTTAACATTTTACACACTATATGGAGTCTTAGGGGCTGTTTGTTTCAGTCTCTTAATGGTTCAGATGTCTGAATGGTTCAGCACTTAATGGTTCAGACTGTTTGTTTCAGCCTCTTAATGGTTCAGATGTCTGAATGGTTAAGAGATTTGCCTCTGAATGTTTAAGTATTATACAGAGTCTGAATGGTTAAGACCTCTTATCTGAATTGATCAGACATTTGCCTCTGAATAGTTAAGCAATATACTAGCTCTTAATGGTTCAGACCTCTAACTGGTTCAGCACTTAATGGTTCAGACCTCTTACTGGTTCAGCACTTACCCATTCAGAAGTTGCCAAACAGCCTCTTAATGTACTACTTATTTTTTAAAAGAACAAGCCGTCCGGTAAAGTTGGAATTATTGTAGATATTTTTTTCTAAAAAATAAGAAGTGATACGTTAATACTTTGTATAGTGCGTAAAATATTAAACCCACCCGTATATTTTTATTTTACTTATTACCAATTTCAAGTTAGTTTCTATTGATTACTTTATTTATTTTATTATTTTTGTATCATTTTAGTTACATTTCTCATTTTCTCATTTTTTATATCTATTATTTTTATTTTTTTAAACTAAGACTAATCTTTAAAAAAGGAAAAAGAAATGATAATGGAGGTAGAAAGTAATTTTAAAAATTTAAATGAAAAATTAAAAAAATGAAAATTCATTAAAAATAATCTCAACTTTCATTTTGTTGCCCAAAATAGGCATTTCCGTTAACCCTCCGTTGGAAACTTAACGGTGACCCAAAACTTGCAAATTTCATTAAAGTTGAGATTATTATGCATCACAGTGAAAGGTGGGATTATTTTTGAAAGACCGGGTAAAGTTGAGATTATTTTGGGTAACTTTTTCTTTTTTTAATAAAAAATGCTAGGGGTACACCAAATAGTGTACCCCAATTGGTGTACCTCACTCCATCCCCACCATACAAAAGCAAGATAGAAAAAAATTGAAGATGCATGGTGTATAAATGGGGCACACCATTTTGTATATCCCTAGCATTCCTCTTTTTTAATACTTCCTCCGTCTCAAAATATATCTCACATTTGCTTTTTCAGCAGTCGCGAGAACTTTTGTTTATTTCTACGTTTTCATTGGTTATTTGATAAAATAAAATATTCTTGATACCTCTTATTTCGAAGAATTTTTCATGTAGTTTTTTATATTAAAATTTTATTTTTTATTTCTATACTAATATGTAAATAAAATGAATTGAAAAAGCAAGATATTTTATCTCGGTAATAGAAGTGTGACAAATATTTAGGGACAGAGGGAGTGGTAGAAATACATTTATTTATTTGAATGGTACTCCGTATTTATTTTCACACCATAAATTTACTATTCCTTCTGTCCCAAATTAAATTTTCTATTTACTAATTTACAGGATCAAACTTCATTCACTTTTTTTCTCTATTTTCGTTAGTTATTTACTAAAAAAATATAGTCATGTCACCACTAGTTTTGTAGATTTTTAAATATGCAAATTTTAGTCTTCAAAAAAAAATATGCAAATTTTATTTTTAAACTCTACACCGTTTTTCATATAAAATAGTTTGAAAATAACTTCAATTAAACATCGCAAACTGAAACATACGATTTAGATTAGGTGGGAAGAGTAATATTGAAATCCTAATTTGGCATAAACCTAATTGTCACTTAAGCTTACCAAATTTTAGTAAATTTGCGCAATAAGAATTTTTTTTTGTGATCTTGTATTCATTTTATGGAATTTCATACGGAGTACATTAAATAGTTTCATACATTGGGCCTAATAAAAATGGTGAAATCTAATTATGAACTCGTAAAGGATGTGAGAAGGTCTAAATTTTAAATGTAAACCTTAGAATCACAATAACATACTCACGACCTCACTTGAACAAGATATATTTTATAGGAGAAATGTTTGGTTCACAAATAAAATGCTTGTAAACCTCACTAATTTTCTATTTGTAAACTTCAATAAAAAATTAAGTAGTCTAAAGTAATTTTGAAATGAGAATTGAAACCAATAATGGTAAGTTTGTGATTGTTTTGTTTGTGAACTTAGCATTGCTCATTTAAAATTTGAAAATTTTAGCAATATTTCTTCGAATGTGGACTATATGTTTGTAGAATGTAGACTATATGTTTGTTATAAAGAGCCATTTTTAAACTTTACTTATATTTTTCATATACGTATTTTCTAAATAATTCTTTACCTATACATTTTGTGCTTATACTTTGGATTTAGACATGACAAAAATTAGTTGAATCTCTTTTTTACCTATCTAAAAATATTGAGTTTGAACTTGAGACCTTATAATCACTATCAGCGATGACTATGCTTGGATATGGGAGAGAATCAGAGTCAGATCCATCATCATCCGACTCACCCTCTCCGTCCTCAAACTCTGAAACCTCCATCTTTTCCTTCTCGTCTTCCTTATTCAGCCCTTGATATTGAATCCCGCTCTCAGAAATTTGAGGGATCTGGAATTCAGAACTCAAATCCACGGAATCCATTTGTAGGTGAGGCGATGAAGATTATATCTAGGATTTTATGGAAGAGTGAAGCTTTACAAAGACGGGGAGAGGGCGATGAAGTTACAGAGAGACGGAGAGGCGGAGAGGGAGAGACAGAGAGACACGGATAGATAGATCTAGGGTTTAGAGAGAGGAGGCGAAGAGCGGAAAAGAAAAGATAAGGTTGATCTTGGCGTAAATGAGAGGGGTGTAAGTGTGGCGTAGATAAGGTTGTTGTGTGGCGTAAATGGGGGGGGGGGGTAATGTTGTCATTACAAAGCCCTTTTTTGGGTTTGGGAAGGTAGTTTTAAAACAAAAAAAGAGAAATGGGAAAATAGTTTTAAGACGAAGCGAGTAATATTGAGATCTTTAAGGTCCAATCGGTTTAGTCTTTAAGTATTCCGAGCTTAGACTGGATCGGATCAAAATCCGAATGCCTTTTTTTATCGAAGATCAACCCAAAATCCAATCAGTTCGAATTTGGTCTTGACCTAACATCAAGTTCAATCAATTTTTTTCAGTTGAAAGAGAGTATTATATCTCTCCGTTCAAAAAATATCACAATTCACTATTCAAAATACACAAGAACTTTTTTTATTGGTATGTCTTTGTTGACTATTTGATAAAATAAAACATTTTTACCGTCCACTTGTTTTGAAAAACTTTTAATATGTAAATATTAATTTTTATTTCTATATCAATCTTTAAATAAAATGAATTGAAAAAAATTAAAATTTCATTTTATTTTGTGTAATATGACAAACATTTTGGAACAAAGGAAGTATTTGAATTTAGTCATATTCATATTCATATACGAGTAGAAGAGTGATTGTAATGTTGCTTGACTTCATTTCATTCATTGTACAGACGTGACAGTAATAAAATGACAACTCCGAGAGTCAAATCTTAACTATTCGCGATTGGAAATGAGATTTAGGAATTAAAAAGCAATTTGATAATGTTAAAATATAATTCCTCAAACTCCAAATCTCAACCCTCTCTCACGCAATGGAGAAAACAATTCATTACAAAGCAGTCATAGACAAGAATATACTAAAGCAGTTCATAGGGAAGCCCGGGAGAATACCTTCATTTGATTCCCAGGGCACGATTTGCAAGTTTCTCGGCCTTTGCCAGTTCACGGTTCCTCCTGAAGCGCTGTGCTGGGGTTTCTTCAAACGGACTCCTGGCAATTAGTTAATGAGGCCTTCCGGGATTCTTCATCATCTTCACCTTCTTTCCTTCTTCCGGTTTTGGAACCGGTTCATCTGGTCCGAGCAGCTTCGATATACCCCAGGCTGCAGCAGCCACACCAGCAACAATGCCCACTGTTTTGATGATCTTGACCGTCTTACTCTCCTCTCTGCAAACTTGGAGAATGACTCTGATTCCGTGCTTTGGAGTGACTGTAAAGCCTCGGACTGGGGAGTGATTGTAGGCAGGGGAGAGCGTGAACACAAAGCGTCTCAGGATCATGGAAAGAACCACTTTGGCTTCAAACTTTGCAAAATTCAACCCCAGCCATGCTCCACGGCCATGTCCAAAGTGAAAGACTGTCGGGTTCCTTTTGTCCACGTCAGGCTGTTCTTCTGTGTTTCCATTGGTGACCTTCAGTTTGAAGGGCACTAGTGGATATAGCCTTACACGACTTCTAGAATCTTATCCATCTACAACAGCAGCAACAAACGTAGTAAGCCCCCACAAAAAAAGCAGAGTCTAACAAGAATGTGTGTATGTAGACTTTACTCCTAAATGAAAGTAGAGAGGTTTCCAAAAGAAGCCCGGATCAAACACAGACACACAAACAAAGTCAAAGTAAACACAGACATAGTACACAATAGCACAAACAGAGTAAGAGTAGAGTAAGAGCACAAAGACAGAAAGCAGTAGCACACAAATTGACACTAACAATTACACCTGAAACTGGAAACCCCCGGTGCTTATGTTTACGCTTTACGAGTGCAAAATATGACTTAGTAATGTACTTGGGGAAGACACAGTCTATATACTCCCTCAAGTCAACATTAAACAGAGTAAGGAATAATCAAATGAATAATTGTTTTGACAATATTACCCCTCTCATAATATAGCATAATACTCATAACTATAATTGAATATGTTGTCTTGGTTTATCAAAGGCAAAAATGAAAAATAACATTAAATTTCATCTTGGTTTTATATTGCCACGCAACAAAAGTTTTTCTCCAAACTATTATCTATTGTGAACATGTGAAGTGTATATACATTTTCCATTTATTCATTTTAAGAAACATTCAATATATCAAAATATAGACCCTCCATCCAAGTAGACCCTTAGTACTTACAACTGTTAGCTTTTCAATGCCTTCAGGATTGATATCTTCACAGCCAAATATTTCAATTACTTCTTTCCTTGCTCTTTCCTGCAAGTTCTTGTCTCTAGATAGCATATGGACCATCCATCCTAGAATAGATGCTGTTGCAGTGCATCCCACAAAGCAGAATGCCATGCACTCATGTGCAATTTCTTCATTTGAATACTTATTGTTCTTTTCACTTTCTTGCTTCGTGGCAAAAGGTTTCCCGGGGAAACCTTTCCTAAAAAGTTCTTCCAACGTCTTTGACTGCTCATGTTTCTTGGACTCAATTGCATCATTCTTCTTCACAACCCAACTGTGCATTCAATAAAACCACAGCATTTAAGTTTAATACAGGGAAAACCAATCCATTGTTGGAAGATGATGTTTTTTCTGACAAATATTCAAAATGAAAGGGGTAATGCTAAGCAAATAAAGTATAAGATCATTAAAACCATTAAGCAGCATATCTACTAGTGCATAACTCTTGATAGCACAGTATACATGTAATAACTTCATATCACTTCAATCATAATATGTTAATTGAGTTATAATTTCAATTATTAAAAGGTACTTCAATTGGTAAAGAAAACACAAAAGCACTTAACCACTTAAGATGGAGTTCGATGATCCCCTAGTAACTCAAGACTAAATAAACAAAGATATCAAGTATAATGTGTCCTAGAATGACTAGAAAGCTAATTATTCATGCTGCCTCCAGATATATGGACATGAATATGATCCTTTCACCTCACCTAATTAATAGAACAATTATATGATTTCTATTAGAGCCATGCCAATGATGAGGAGATATTTCATGAGTGAGTAATTTTGGGGACGTAAAGCATCCCATTGGTGTGGAAAACAAATAGACACACGAGTTTTTTTGTCACTCTATGTGAGGAATTTTTTTCTTCATTTTTGAGAATTTGGAGTGAGAGAGTAGATATGAGCGAAAAATGTTTACACACCAAAAAGATTGATGAGGAAATATGTTTCCTCACCATTGAGATTGCTCTTAGGGTATAAAACATTTACTCGACTTAAAAGTACAAATCTACAAGTTCGATCTTTTGGTTAAGTTGGTTCTAGAGGTCGTGTGTTTTGGAACTTAGTTCAAAAAATCAAAACATGGGTCGTGTTAGGGCATATAACTTTTCTTATGCCTACAACCACAAGCTAGCTATAGCTTTTTACTTGATACTTTCATCAAACTTGTACCAGATTTCACTACAAACGCACGAAAAAAGGTAAAATGATAAAAGAAACTACCCCATGTGAGGAGATTTGTTGTTTGCTTCCAAACAATTCTTTCCAAAAGCAGTATTGGAAACGAGTTCGGAAGCCAGAAGGCTGAATTGTTCGAACACCTCAACGTCGTCTCCATCGCGTTTCATCCAATTTTCCAGAATCGTCTCCCCGCTCTTGACCATGCCTGCAAACATCCCCTGCAATCAATCAAAACACATCATCAGGCCACCATTCTCTCTTTCAGTTGAGAAATTCGCATGCGCGACTTAATTGCGGAGAGAGGGATGAAGATCTAGGGTTTGGAGACTTCGATCGCCGGAGACGTCGCACTTGGGTTGATCGGGCGATGAGTTCGAGAAGTGCTTGGCGAAGCCCCAGGCTGTGGAAGCGGCATCTGTTACAGCATCAAATGCTTTTGCAAACCCAGCCATTTTCGTTGGGAGGAATTCCTGGCTTTCTCAGTGATTTCGATGCTTGAAGATGGGGAAAGACGGAAAGTTTTCAGAAACAAAAAAAAAATGAAAGGAAGCGTTACATATACGTACGGTCGTACGGAGCATTTTTGCTCGTAATTTTTAATTTCTAATTTCTAATTTTTAAATTTTTGTTTTAAATACTGATTATTTGATTTTTAATTCTTAAATATTAAATTTTATATTTGAAATTTTAAAATTTATATTTTAAGTTTTAAATTATAATTTTTGCATTTTAAATTTTAAAGTTATTTCAGAGTATACCAAAATACTTCAATTGGATAAGACTTTAGTATCTATAACGAGTACAGAAGGTATGTCGTTACTTAAACATACCATGAGGCTCCATCTATATAGAGCATTAACTGATCAAACACATCTGTTGACAAAACCTAGATCGCATATAGCGAGTTTGAGTGCGAGTGAGTGTGGGTGCATCTTAAAACGTTAAATAAAAAATAAAAGCCATAGATATGACTACATGTTACTTCAAAATTACTCATATTTTTATTATAAAACTGGTATTTTTAACACGTGCAATGCATTGGATAGAACGAAATATTTTTTGATTCTGCAAATTTTCTTTACTAATAACACGATTCAAAGATTGAATAAAAAGACATATTTTGAAGAGCCTTCCATCCAAACTTGCCACACTTTGTTATTCACCATTATTCGTGGCCATTGAGAACACTTCCACTGGACAAATCCGTAGCACTTTGAAAACCAAACCATTCATAAGTTCCCAACAAAGCCCTTAAAGGGGCAGAGTTTTTTCTTCTCGACACCCATGCATGCCTCTTTCTTCGCTTCCAATAAAGGGTTGTCCATCCAAATCTCTATGGCCATTCTTGGAATTTAATCTATATATCCTTTGAAAACTTCACACTTTTTCCCATTCCAATCTGATTCTCATCTCTGTGAAATCCACCAGAGGAATTACCACCACACCACTCCTTGGAGCCAAAGCTGTTCATCTCTCCAAATGCTTTACTAAATCCATTTAACTCCACAACCTACAAGAGCAAAAAGAGATATGTTTGAAATTTACCTGCTGCCTGCCAAACAGGTACAGTTAGGCAATTCACTAACACACAAGTTTCTCAAGTACTCTAATCTTCAATTCTTAGTTACAGAAAAGGAAAATGGTCAAACTTCTTGAGCAGTGTTGTAAAAATTGTTTTGTTCATAATTTTTCAAAAAAAAAAACCGCCATATCCATCATACCAGCAATCATAGTTGACAACTACCCAAAATTTCACTAAATTGCATGAACAAGCTTTAGAAATTAGAACCTTGTTCTCAAACTATGCGGCATCAATGTAGTTTTTAAATATATAAATTTTATTTTTTAATTTCACACGTACAATTAAATAAATTAAATTGAAAATAAAGTCGGTCAAACCTCGTAAACACAAATGGAAAGATAGTTTTAGGACGGAGGAAGTTAAATTTGGATATAAAATATTATCTTATATTAATCATATATAAATACATTTTTAAATCGTTGTTAGTAAAAGTTAGAAAGAGTTGGAAAGAACCAGCAGAGGCTAGTTATCACATCATCTTTACATTTCTAACGACATTTTAGAGTCTTTAGCAATAAAGACCAATCGGTTGCTGTGGTGTAGTGGTTATCACGTCAGTCTTACACACTGAAAGGCTCCAGTTCGGTCCTGGGCAGCAACATTTTGAACAGTTCCAAAAGTCAAAAGTGGACGAATATAGCTGGATGGAGGTAAGTAAATATTTTACTCCTTAATATTTAAAGCTTCATGCAGTCAAACAAATTCCCATTCCCATGATTCATCGCCTCCAATTCGCCCAATTTCAACTTCTCCGCTTCCTCAAGAATCAGCGGCGGCCACTCTCTGTTCAATTACCATGTGCGGTTCCCAGCAATAAGTGCCCGTTTTCTTGCCCTTCCGCCTCAAACCGAGAGATGGTGACGCTGGTGGTGGCGACGACGACGGATCCGGCGTCCTTTGGGCCGTCCACGGCGCTGCTGTCCATGCCGGGGTGGACTCCCGGCCCGAATCTTGACTCCGGCATCAGAAGCTTCTCCAACAAGCACCTCCGGTTGCTTCAGCATGATAAGAGTATTGTCGAAGAGGATGACTTGGATCTCCGCTGGACTCAGGCTTCCGGCGAGCCCGTCGACGAGGTCATCTTCCTCAGCAAGCACACCGCCGTCTCCAACCGGCCGGCCCTCACCATTCACCCCATCGGTATGGAGATTTCAACTGTCAGCTGAATAATAACAATTTCGCAGTGAGGGTTTTCATATTTCCTCCGGGTGATTTTGCTAATTGCTGGAAATGTGTTACCCTGATATTGAATTTGTTGTTTAGGAGTGCCCCATTTGAAGGAAGGTGACGTCCCGCCGCAAGGAGGGAGGCCCGGGTGGGCGGCACCGCCTAATCCTAGGATGGGTCCTTGGCTGGTTCTCTTGAAGAAGATTGCTCATGATCATAATCTGCTTCCTGAGTTTGAGGTATACATATATTTTCTGAATTGTGTGGAAAGTTTGCATTTTTTTATCATCTAAATATGCACAAATTCTCTACTTTTGTTCCTTATGTTCTGTTTGGATAGTTATTTCATTCATAAACTTGGAGTTTGGATTTATGTACAAAGTTTGGATTTCTAAATGACTTCGGCACCCAAAGGATTTGAATTTGAGTTTCAGAACAAACACAGATTTTTGATTTTCAATTCCGGAATTGTGAATCTCAAGTGATTTCCAAACAAAGAACTCAAATGCCAAGTACTTGATTTTAAATTTTTTAGAATTAAATACATGTATTTCAAATTATATCCACACATCCAAATGCAACCTTAATGATAGTTTTCCGTGCTGATAATTGTGTTTTGTTCTATGTTTAGATTACTTTGGAGGCCACTCATCACGGACCCATCACTACCAAGCCAACAATGTTCATTGAGATAGGTATGATTTGAGATAACTTGTCGTTTTTATTTCCACCATCTCTACTACTCGTGAAGTATCACGATTTTACAATAGAGCAGAGTAGCAATAGCCATGTTTTCCAAATAGTGTTATGATTTCTGTATTTGCCAAAAATTACATAGGTAGTACCGAGGAGTATTGGAAGAGGGAAGATGCTGCGCGTGTTGTTGCTTTAGTGAGTATAGTTCATATTTACCTTTTAAGTATGTGGAAAGCCTATCTGCGTTTTTTGAAGTTGAACAAGGGTAATATGGTAACAATATACTCTCTCAGGCTTATAATGAGTGTAGGTTTGGAAGTTTTGGTACAATATAAACTCTTCTTTTTCATTTGCTCTCCATTAACAACAAAGACGATGCTTTCTGGTTTGCCTTTTCGCTCTGTTTTGCGTGTTTCTGTGCTACCTAGTGAAGAAGAGGGAGTATGTTGCTTGACATCTTGAATCAACTCATGACCCATTGGTAATGAAGGGAATGGGCTTTCCTTCTTTGCTCCCATTGCCAATAGAGCTAAAAGTGTCTTCTATTGAGAATGTTTTAGTGTCGAGTATATAATGGTGCATTAAACTTCCTTTGCTTCTTACTTTCTGCTAGTTTTGGGTAGTAACGACAACAATGCATCAATGGTCTAAAGAACAGCCTCTCTAGATATTATTTTGAGTTAGACACACAGTTAAAAAGTTTTGCTAAAATAGTGTTTTCTTGCTCTCAAAAAGCTAGTTTGGGAAGGACTTGGTCTGGATGGAGGAACTGCCATTGGGACTTGGAACAGGTAATAATTATCAAGCGCTTGTTATAAAAAAATAGATACTGTAAGTCTGTAACGTGAAAGATTATATCAAGAGTAACAGCATACCAGAATCCTATAGAAGTGTGGTGTGGGGGATGAAACTAAAATTTACATTTCCTAGTTTTCATTAATTTGTTGACACCGGTCCATTTGAGCACCCTATAGGCCTATAGTGCCTCTGTTTGACAGAAAAGTAGTTCCTACCCACAAACTCCCCTCCCTACAAACTTCACACTCCCAGCACCCCCAATCAGTTTGTGGGGTTTGGGGGGCGGGGGGGGGGGGATTACGAATCACTTCGGGGTTGAATAGAGTATCATAGGGTACCCAAAAAGTTTGAGCGCCATATTATGACACCCAACCCCAATCTCAAAAGAATCTAGGTGTTTGTTCATTGCTATATGTGATGATTCATTGATTCTTACTTTTTGCAATAAAAAAAGAGATTATATTCTCAAATCATGATGATGGTTTACCAGCTGCAGCACACAAAAGAAGAAAGTTCTTCTTGGACTTGGTGGAGGGCACTATGTTCCCAGACATATGGACATAATCCAGTTAAGTCATTTGGTTTTGGCCAGACATTCTTCTCCCATCAGTTTAAGCTTTTCAATCTGGTTTTCAAAAATGTCTGTTTACCGGGCTTCCAACAAACTTACAGTCATAATGTTTCTGAAGAACATCAAATGTTTTTTTCCCCTTCTTGAATAATTTATATAGGAAAGATGGCGGATGGGTTGGTCATCTCCTATCTGGGTATTCGTTGCCGATGGAAGATCCAGGACAAACAAAAGTGAAAGCAGAAGATGTTAGAGGAACTTGGCGACAAGCGATTAAAGCGGCTTACGATGCCACGAGGGAAGCTTTTCCTAATGGTGAAATTTTGGCTCATCTTGACCAGAAGTAAGACCTTGCTCTTTTCAACTTTTTAGTTCAGTTCCATATTTCAGTTACCAGACTCCAGTTAAAATTGAGGTAATGACCTAAGTATGGTTTTAAAACCTACAATTTTAATTTAGTTACATACACAAGATTTCTCAAAGCATACTCCCTTCGTCCCAGTTTAAATCGCCTGTTGTTGTTTACGAGGCTTGACTGAAATTATTTTCAATTCAATTTATTTGAAAATTGGTATGGAATTTAAATAAAATAAATTTATATATTTAAAAACTATATCACAAAAACTACAAAATAAGAGGTGAGAAGACTTTATTATTTTATCAAATGAGTAGCGAAAAATGGGCAAAGAACGTGGTTAAAGTTTG